CTGTGTGTCTCCACATTTGTGTGTGTGTGTCAGATGTCAGAGAGAGAGAGAGAGAGAGAGAGAGAGAGAGAGAGAGAGAGAGAGAGAAAGGGGAGAGGGAGAGGTGTGGGAGAGAACACTGACTAGCCCACTCAGCTGTTTTTTACTGCATGTGGGAGAGTAAATAGTCAGGAAGTGACACTTTTCTAAGGGAGGTTGTTCTAATTAAGACATGAAAAACATTTCTTTGAAACTCGATACTTCCCAGTGACCCTGTGATCAACAGCATTGGGCTTGATGTACCTGCTATTTGCTTTGTAATTAAAGGAAATGATATTTTCAGTGGCCATCCACTGGCCAGATAAGTGAAAAATGGACTTGAGGGAGTGGCTCCCTGTGTCCCAGACTTCTGCTTGGGTTGCCTTGGAAGAGCAGGCTCTGTTCCAAGGACATTAAGATTTTGCAACTAGGAGAAACCACCCAGGCTGGGTCCAGGGTAAGAGGCTCGAGATAGGGCTGGGAGTATTTCACATCAGGGCACCTTTTGCAGCCCAGATGCCAGGAGGGAGTATGGAGTGGGAGGTGTCACGGGGGCTGGCAGGGCATGCTCTGGATAGGCTGGCACAGCATAGCCCATCTGGAGTGAGCTGTGGGTGGGTTCTGGCTGCAGTAAGACTGAATGAGCAGGAAAACTGGAGAGGCTGAAGTGAGTTTCTTGCTCTGGTCCCTAATTTTGTAGGTATCACTAGCAGATGGCAGATGCTCCAGGGCACAGCCCTCTGCACACCTCATTGTTTACTATTTGTGATCTCAAGCACAAGAGGCCCTAGCCTTAACCTCGTAAAACAGTGCCTACTTCACAACAGATGGGCTATRACATGTTTGGGGACTAGCTGGCTAGGTTGCTGAGACCAAGGAAAACACCCAGCGATTGTGAACAAAACATGAACTTTATTGAAAAAATGCTTACGGGGAAGGTCCAGTGGCAACAACTCCACCCCTCACAATGCCACACCTCTCCTGGCAGCTGGATGACTGGCACTTTCCTCCCTACAAAGTCCTCAGTTCTGCTCCAGTTACCACGGGGAGAAGGACTTATAAGTTAGGCTACAGAAGCAGTGACATTAGGTCCTTTTGTCTCACTGTATGACAACATCCCAAGGAACTTGGTGTGCATGCAAAGCAGCTTTCTAGAGATAACACGAACTTGCCCTAATTCCCATCATGCATGAGAGAGCCTGTGTCCTTTGAGATAATATTTATCTGGACATTCTGGCCCAGACTTGCTCTCACTGTTCCCTTAGCTTGGCTAGGTTCTCAAAAACAGAGGAGCGTTTCAGGGACATGATAAAYACCATGTGAAATACTGTCATCCTTTTCTCCAAAGATGACACAACTCTCCACTTTATATTTGATCTGCTTAGTCTTATAAACTGTTATCAGTTGTGCCTGGAAATAGATTTAAGATCCATGTAGCCCGAAGACCATGGGCACATTTTGTAGTTACGGTTCTCCCAAAGTCAAGTTGCTATGGGTATATTACTTGGAAAGGAATTCAAGACACAAAATCAGGCTGCAGGGACAACTAGAATATGCTGTGATTCTGACCTCCACATCTCAAGAAAAGTGATAGTAATGAAGGGCCACTGAAAGACAAGAGGCTACCTTATCAGGAAGCCAAGTCACTGAGTATCTACTAGATTAGGATGGTGAGGGGGTGAGTTGGGCGCTGGGGATGGCGATGAGTGAAGCAATGAATGAATTCCTGGATCCCTCAGGGAGGTGAGTCACATTTTATTAACTACATGCACAGGCTAGTGTCTTCTTTGGGAAGACATTGGTACCTACAGAGTATACATGTAGGTTTAACTTTTTAGACTGAAAACCAAAAAATCAGGAGTCCTCAGGGTGAAAACATGGTTGTGAGCAGATAATACAAGATCATCAAATCAGTTGGCAAGATTAAAAATAAATAAAATAAATCTATCATGTCCATCTACAACTTAAAAAAAATCCAAAACTTATTTATTTTTTAAAGACAGAGTCTTGCTATATTGCCCAGGCTGGCCTCAAACTTGTGATCTTCCTGCCTCAGCTTCCCAAGTAGCTAGGATTACAGGTGTGCACCATGCTTGGCTATGGGAAATAACAAGGAGTTATCTTAGGAAAACACAGACTCAGGCCAGAAATATTTAATGCCTCAAGGAAAGCTTAGATGATTGGTACATTTGTAATGTAGAAACTTAGCTAAGTTGGAAAGACATCCCCCAGAATTCCTTCCCCGCAGAGTTAATGTTAGGATAACTCATGCCCTTGTGTGAGACTCAGAAACTATGAAATGACACAGCAGCCACATTCTTAATATTTGGAAGGTCATTGSAAAGAGGATTTAAATACCTGGCACACAGGAGACATCAGTAAGTGGCAGTTATGACCAGTTTGTATGTGGCCACCTGGTGGCTTTTCTTATCAAAGAGCTGGCTGGGAGGTCCTGGTAGGGGCGTGCTACTTGCTACCCATATACCCTTGACTGAAGAAGGTTCTTCCTCTATCAGGGAAGATCATTCTCATTGACCAAGTGCACATCTTTGGTCGGGATGCACATGGAGCAGTGAGGAAGGGGACACCTGCTTAGCCAGCCAGATCAGCCAAACCAACCCTGGGGATCAACTGGTGACAGATATTGCCGTCATGTCACCCTCATGTCCCTATGCACTTCTCTTAGTAAATGACCTGCCATACCCTGGTCATCATTAAGTGGCACAGTACCGAGCGCTTAAGTTCTTACTACTCACCACCATGCCTGGCTCCTAAGACTCTTTTTCCCAGAGAAATCTCTTACTACTTGCCCCTGAATTTAAGAAAAAGTGAGTTCYCTCCAAGAATGAACATTTAACTGCCTGTTTAAAATTTGCAGAGAGCAGAGGAAAACTTTGTCTCTTTTTGCTCTTCCCAGGTTCCAAGGTGGTGGGTGATAGGATCAAAAGAGCAAAGGGTCTAAAGATAAGCACCCACACACCCATGTTCTGTAACTCAACACAGATCCTGCTCTAAGAAGCAGGGAAGATGTCTCTTCTTAACACACGGCTGAGTTCCTCACTTCAGCTTTATTCCAAAGTAGAATGGGGCTTCTGGCTTTGCTTCACTCCATGTCCACCAAATGCCTGTGAATTCTGAGAGTGCCATAGACATATAAACCCTGACCATATAAAGGACAGGTGATCTGACTGTGGGCTGCTTGCATCACTACTTCAGGTCCCAGGTCAACCTCCCTTTTCTTGGGTAGAGGGGCTCTACCACTGAGCTACATCCCCAGCCCTCCATGTTTTATTCTGAAATAAAATAAAGGGTCTTGCTAARTTCCCGAGGCTGGCCTCGAATTTGTGATCCTCCTGCTGCAGTTTCCTGAGTCACTGGGATTACAGAAGCGCATCACTGTGCTGTGCCTGGCCTACCCTTTCTTGATTCCCTCATTCCAAGACAAATACTCTCTTGGGCTATGCTCAAGTTGTCCCATTGGCAGTTACCTGCAATAGGATGCTATCAAAGATCTTTTTAGGAACTATATTCTGTGATGTCCCTTTCTTGCAGAATATTATTAAGGTTACATATATAGGTTATCAGCAATTCTAGACTGACAGAGAAATTGTGCAAATAGCTGTGTCCACATTGTTTCTCTTCTCTTTATTTTTGGTACCCTGGATCAAACTCAGGGGTGCTTAACCCCTGAGCCACATCCCTGTCCCTTTTTAAAGTTTTGAACAGGGTCTTACTAACTTACCTATGACCTCACTAAATTGCCGAGGTTGGCCTTGGATTTACAATCCTCCTGTCTCAGCCTCTGGAGCTAATCTGCTGAGATTACAAGTGTGCGCCACCATGCCTGGCTCTTTATATCTTTCTTCCACTTCCCACAGAAGTCTATCAGACCTGCAAGGATAAAAAACATGAAGGGAAGCTCTGAGGGCCTCCTGAGCCTTTTCAAGTCAGGATATTGACTAATGGTTCAATTTCAATGCATTCTGTCACCAATGTTGGTGACAATCTTAAGAAAATACAGGGTCTAATAATGTACCACCCTAAAAGGGAGTTCAAAGTGCTAAGGTGGCCAAGAAACTTTGGTCAAAACTCTTCACTTACTCCTCATGCTTTGGAGGTTGTGTACRGGCTGCTTCTGAATAACTTTGGTCACAAATTTAGAGAGGAAACTTGCTCTGGCTCATGCTGAAGATCTTAGTATGGATTATTTGCATAGGGAACAAATCATGCAGATAAAGGAAATTGTTTCATTATCAAATAATTTGACATCAACTGGGAGGAGTATAATACAAATCTGGAGATAAGGCAAATAATTCAAGAGAGAATAAAGGGTGCCTGGAGCCTGCCTTGGCCTTGAAGTTCCTACTGCTACCCCAGCACCACACCACCTTCTGCAGGAGTACACCACCAGCTCTTTAGGCCTTCAGAGTATGTAAGGATGAGTACCCAACACAATTTGCTACTTGAGAAAGGAAAAACATGCTCAACAGAGACCACCCTAGTATGTTTCACATATTTATTAAAGGTCACAATTAAATTTCATTTTTCCAAATGGAACCTACTGTAAAAATCAGTTAAAAGGTGGAATAGCCAATAGTTAATGGAAAAAAAAACTGTTATTTTTCCAATTACTTGGTTCATTTTAACAAGGATGCATTATTTCATTGCCTTCAGTCCAATGTTATTTCAGGTGAGAGGACACAGCAATATTGTCTCTGAAGTCTCGTTTCTTCAAGTTGGCCCCCACCATAGTTTCCAACCAGAGTTTTCCCTGAAGACTAAGTAAAACTAAGAACAATGGGAAACATTTTTAAAAATTTATTTAAGGAACACAAAAGTGCATCTAAGTAATTTTTAAAATACTTTTATTTTATTTATTGTATGTGGTGCTAAGAATTGAACCCAGGGCCTTGCATGTGCTAGGCAAGCACTCTACCACTGAGCCACAAACCCAGCCCTCTAAGTAATTTTTTAAAAAGCCAATTTTAAAAATTCATCCTATGCAGCCTCACCATTCCAGATACAGTCTGAAAGGTGATTGATTCCAAGACATCTTCTGGTTTCTACACACTTTAAGGTTACTGAGTTTGATACAAGAATACGTGAAGTCTCACACAGCCCCTTGTCATCTAATTGGAACTATCTGTGCCCCACCTCTCTCTCCACACACTGGCCAGTTCCCCTGCTGGCACACAGCACAATGGGGACACAGCTGGCTGGGGTCATCTGAGTTTTGGAGTAGTTTTCTTATTTGTTACCTATAAAAAGCTAGGCTCAAATTTTAGTCTTGGCCTCATTAATTTCATGCTCTAGTCAACAGAGCTACAAATATTAAGCAGTTAAGCAAATACACAAAATTGACTTTTGCTTTTCATATTTCCTAGGTAAGACTGGGGCTTTTAAAAGAAATATTACATAAAAAAAGACAAAAGCCTAAATGAGGAATTAGAGGGGTTTTACTTACTATTAAAAGCAAAACCTCACAATTTATTTCTATTTGTTTCAGGGAAAATAAAAGAAAATGACCTGATTTTTTAGGTCTTAAGGTCCTAACCTAATAATGAAAGTGTTAAAACCAGCATAAAAAGAATAACTAATTCAAAATGTAACTAACAGCCAGTGTTCTTTAAGATTTAAGGAAGTGAGATGTTCTAGATTTAGGCAAATGATTCTTTAGGTTGCCAAATGCATTCCCATGAGTGTTTATTTATTTACCCAAAAGAACTAAAATGCTACTACATGTATATATTTGTCTTAAGACTTGCTCTAATTTAATGCCCAAGTACTGGAGATTTAGGCTAGATGTACCTCTTAGTGGGAAGCTGTTCAACTCTTTTACAGCTTACACCAGAAGGAAGAAGCTACCAGTGCAGGAGGATAGAAGCATCTGCCTGGTGAACCTGCCAGTAAAACCCTTAATGTAGAAGAGCAACAACTACTTATTTTTTTCAACCCCATAATTTTTTTTTTTTAAATTAAGGTACTAAGTAGTAAAAAGTCAACTTTTTTTTTTTTTTTGCATAATAGGAGTGTAAAGTTTCATAAGCCAGTATACATATGTTTATGAGCAATTAAAAAAAAAGACAAAAAAGCTGCATTATACTGAATGGATATGTAAAAAAATCCACTCCAGGTCAAGCTATTACAAGTATTAAATTCTTAATGGCAAGGCTTTGAAAGGGAACAGAAGCTGAATGTTAGTAATGCTGCAGAAAGTAAGGTGTACTAACAATGTTTCCTCAAAGGAATGGGGAGGGAAAAAAAAGCACAATTTTGATGGCTTTTTTCACATTTCAGCATCTCAAAAACTTCATCCAAAACAGGGAAAGCAAATCCAGAAGCTTCTGTCTGCTCATTATCATTGATGAAGGGTGTTGTGGGAATGAATGACAAAATGACTCGCCCAGGGCAGGCTGGGTGTGGCAGAAAGCCACACTCACATGAGGCTGGCAGAGGAAGGAGCTTGGGAAGCTGCAAAGTCAGCAAAGCTCATGGCCTCCCAGGTTCTTGCTCTCAAGTATGTGATGCTGCTCTAGAACTGAAGGGTTCCAGACCTCTTGCCTTTGGGTTCTGTTGGTTACAAATGCAATAGGTTGTATTTGTAGCACTTTAGTCATTTAAAAAAAAAAAAAAAAAAAAACCAGCTCACCCTCCTTCCCTCGACCTACCCACCTATAGGAAAGGAGAAATTGATTAAGCATATTTAAAAAGGTTTCTGCAGTGCTATTAAAATTCAAATGTAAAATCTAACAGCCCCAAATCATTAGGATTATCTTCAGGGACCCTGTGATGGATATGAAGGTTGACAAACTGAAACGAGATGGACTCAGCTGTTGGCTCAATCTCTTGGCGACAACAGCCTTTCTGTTCTGTTCTACCTGGAGTGGTCCCACGCCACCCACTCAATGACCCACTGGGCAGCAGCAGGGTGGTTGTTTTGGGGGAAGCTACTGGTTTTGCCATTTGCTTCCAGAATCACATAGACTATAACAAACTTTACACTAAACACTGTTTAGTCCTGAGCTGGGTAAAAGCCCAATGAGGAGGGGCCGAGTTCATTAGGACTCTCTTCCCTCCTTGGCGTGGCGTCATACATGGCCTTCAGTTTTTTCTTCTTCCATTGCTTGATTTTCTGTTCCTTTTTCATTGGTGACGYCCTCTAAAGTCTTCTTGTTTATTGCTTTACTGGCCTCTTCCTGAGGAAGAAGTAAGAAATCATGAGGGTTAGAGAATAAAGAAATGTAAATTTCTGGCTCCTCTGGACTGCTCACCAGGTCCACAGTAAGAGTGTATTATAATGACTTTATTTAGTTGCCCAGTTGAGTAAGTCAGGGTTCTGCTACCAACAGCTGGAGTTGGAGCTTTCCCTTTTCTTTCACTGAGTAGGCTGCTGCAGGTAGCAGTTCTTGATAATTTAGCTCATGTGGTGGTGGTGGGGCTGGGGAGCGGAAGATGAAATTAAGAGAATAACTATGGTGTAGGGGAGGCAAACCTCTCTCCCAATAGATCTATAATAACCATTTCCTCTGAACATTGGAAGTCTCAGCAAGGAAGTGTTACTTGGGGGAAAAAAAACCTGATGGGTTTTTAGTATGTCTCAAGGGAATTTATTTTCCTCATTTCTTGCATGAAATGAGGGTATGGATATGCCAAGAACCTCACAATCATTGCCTTTGGTGAGCGGAATAGTCCTCCTTGCCTCTGGATACAAACCAGYCTCAGATCAGAATGGAAGTAATTTCTCCTCTCCGTGTGCTTCCCAGGTAGGCTATCTGAACCTGTCCCTTACACTTAAGCTTCTTAGAAGAAAATCCAAAGGGGCAAGGTCAGTTCTTGATGTACTTGAAGGCAAGTGGGTTCTGCACACACCTTTGCATCCTGCTCTGCAAACTTCTTGAACATGTTGGCGTATATCCTACGGTCCCGCTCGTTGTGCTCCTTTGCTTTTTTCTGACACATGGAGATCTGCAGTCTTGCAGCCTTGTTCTGGGGATTTACTTCCAACACTTTCTCAAAATCACCCTTTGCTGACTCAAACTCATTCATAAGCAGCTGGGCTTCACCCCTCCTGTATAAGCCTTTCTCATTGGTACTGTCAAGTCCAAGGGCCTAGAAACAGATGGTCTATATTTTAGAATGGATGAATGTAACCCTTCTTACTTGTGGGGATTTTAAGAAGAAGAAATTCAATAAATAGCTTACTAAAGCCCTCTGATCAAGGGAAATGGAAAAGGTATACTGAAAAAATGGAGCTCAAGACAATTATAGAATGATCAAATTAATATACTACTCAAATTAATTTCTGTATTTAATGTAATTTCTAGAATTATCCCAAGGACATTTGGGAAGAGGCCCTGGAAAAGTTAATTTTRAGGTCATTAGAATATATGAATGTCCAAGAAGGGCTGAAAAACTTTTGGGGAAAAAAGAAAATAAAAATGACTTATCTGACAAGCAGAAAGGATATACTATAAAACTACTGAAATTAAAAATTTGGGGCAGGCCATGCTGGGCGCAGTGGCACATGCCTGTAATTCCAGCGGATTGGGAGGCTGAGGCACTAAGCAATTTAGTGAGACTCTGTCTCTAAATAAAATAAAAAATAGGGCTGGAGATGTGGCTCAGTGGTTGAGTGACCCGAGTTCAATTCCCAGTACCAAAAAAAAAAAAAAAAAAAAAGTTTGGTTATTAGTACATGGACAAAGTGTTCAGTGAAACATAACAAAGCATTTAAAAAACAGATTCATTTAAAAATGATATATATCAATGAGGAAAGGATTAACTTTATAATGAGTGGGGGTGGGACAGTGGCCACCTACATAGAAAAGAATTAAATACTTACCTTACATCATGAACCCCCAAATTAATCCCAGAACAATTATATTTACATACAAAAAACCCACATAAAAATGAGCTACTTTTATAATGTTAAGGTGGGGAAGACTATCTCCCTAGAAAGGAAATGATAGATTTGATTGTGTAAGTATTAAAACTTTATAAAACTATAATTACAAAATTATAAGACAAGTGAGAACAAAGCGTTAACAGTGTTACTCAGTGATACTACTCAATTGCTTCAATCAAGATTGCTTCAAAGGGGCTAGGGGCTGGGGATGTGGCTCAAGCAGTAACGCGCTCACCTGGCATGTTCGGGGCCCTGGGTTCGATCCTCAGCACCACATAAAAAAAATAAAATGTTGGGGCTGGGGATGTGGCTCAAGCAGTAGCGCGCTTGCCTGGCATGGGTGTGGCCTGGGTTTGATCCTCAGCACCACATACAAACAAAGATGTTGTGTCTGCCGAAAACTAAAATGTAAATAAAATATTAAAAAAAAAAAAAGATTGCTTCAGAAAATCTAGTCAAAAGACATGAATGGTGGGCTGGGGTTGTGGCTCAGCGGTAGAGCGCTCGCCTAGCGTGTGCGAGACCCTGGGTTTGATCCTCAGTACCACATGAAAAAATAAATAAAATTAAAGGTATTGACAACTAAAAAAAAAAAAAAAATGAATGGGCAACTCCCAGAAGAAATACAAATGGCCAATAAATAAAATTTTTGTTGCCACTAATATTGACAAAAAACAATTATGCAAAGAGAAGCTGTATAATTTATATCAAAAACCTGGAAATCTTCCAAAGGGGATTGGTTAAATAAACTATGATGGACATACAACATATCTTTAAAAGATCCATTTTTGATATTAAAAATAATAAGGGAGAGCTCTATGATGGACTAACTAAATATAGAAAGATGTTTTTGTTTCATAAAACTATGTCTCAATCTGAAGTATGTCATGCTAAGTGAAATAAGCCAATTCCCAAACACTAAAGGTTCAAATCTTCTCTTTGATATGCAGATGCTAACTCACAATAAGGGGGGTGGGTAGAGAATGATAAATAGTTAGAATAATAGAATAATAGATAATAATAATAATAATTAGAATAATAGTTTGGAATAGACAAAGGAGAATGAAGGGAAGGGAGGGGGAATGGGAATAGGAAAGATAGTAGAAGAAATCAGGTATTGCTATCCTATGTGCATACATAATTATATGACCAATGTTATTCTACATCTTCTTTCAGAAGACCATGTACAGACACAGAGAAAAAGAACTGGACTATCTAAAGTCCATCTCACAGACACCTTACCTTGTCACAGCACTCCACAACTTTGGCGTATTCTCTAAGTTTCAGGTAGCACATAGCCAGGTTCAGAAATGCAGCGAGCAGAAATGACTCAGAAGCTTTTGATTCCTTTTCTGATAGACCGTATTCCATCTCTAACCAGGATACTATCTTTCCATACTGAATCACTGCTTGCATGTACTTGCCTCCCTAAGAGAAAAAAGCAAGTGATTACTTGTATTTCATTCTGGAGAGGATACAAAGGAGGTGTGAGCACAATCCTGCCTCAGAGAGCCAAACCCTCGCAGCAGAACCACTTACACCTGAACCCTGGTCTTCTTTTCTTAGGTACCTTCCCACTCCTGTGGAAGCCCAGCAACCTTCAAGGTGGCCCAGACACGGCACTAGCACGATGCAGTGCTGTTTTCCTGGTATTTGATCCATCCTGTCAGAAGATGGCATCCCAGTTTCTGGGTTATATTCTTTGGTGCTAATATTCATCAGTCTTTCAAAGGACAGTGAGCGGTTTAGTTTACTGAAAGGGAAATTACTTTTCCATTTTCTCCTGACATTTTGCAGTGCATAGTAAATACTGCAATATGGTAAGTACTGGTCCAAACACAGCAAATCTAAGCTACTTAAACCAGACATTATTGTAAATACTCAATGYTGTCACCTGTAGTGCCAAAGCAGTTCTTTACATTTACATTACAACATATATGTAAATGGATGGGTCAAGTCCTAGTAAAATTTTACTAATACAGGAAATGGTCAGAGCTGGCCCATAGCTGGCTCTAGTTGTTGCTGGCAATGGGCCTATAGGCTAGCAGCCTCCAGTATAAATAACTATAAAACAACATAGGTGTCAACTATGTGAGAAAAATCTCCTACTCATTTTTGCTCTTATTTGATAAGAATTCTAATAACTGTAAATAATCAAAACAAAAGAGTGGAAAAATACATATGTATATTCTCTATGCAAGAAACTGAGGGTATGAGTCAGTGGGTGTGAGATTGTGCTTACTGTCACTGTAAGACAAATGAAATGGAATGCTAGCTGGTAAATACACAAATGAAAATCAGTATAGGTAAGGGCTCTCCTTTTGCAGGAGATGATTATAAGCTTGGAAACAGATGAGGGCTGGGGATGTGGCTCAAGCGGTAGCRCGCTCGCCTGGCATGCGTGCAGCCCGGGTTCGATCCTCAGCACCACATACCAACAAAGATGTTGTGTCCGCCGAGAACTAAAAAATAAATGTTAAAAATTCTCTCTCTCTCTCTCTCCTCTCTCACTCTCTCTTTAAAAACAACAACAACAACAACAACAACAAAAAAAAAAAAACAGATGATATATCCTATCAGATGTTGGAAGAGCAGCCAGATTCATTAGGACATTAAATCCAATGAACAGTGTGAAGACTTTCACCAGGACCCACCACACTTTAAAGCAGCAAGTTGTCTCTCCCCATATGTACTCTAACCTTCAACTAAAGACTAAGAAGAGGAAAATGACAAAGCAGGTCTAAGAGAATGTTCCTGTTATAAAGGACTTCAAGTGTGTGGCATAAGAAAGGAGCTCACCTTAGAAAGGAACGCTTGATGTTGATTTTCTGGTGATGATGATGAGGTAGACCAGTTCCACCTGAGGGGCCTGGGTCTGAATGGGGACTCTGCTACATTCCACAAACACCTCCCACTAGTCACTTATTTAGAAAAGGAAAAACTCAGAGCTCATCAGTTTTACTGTAAGATGACCATGCAAAAGGATGCTGAGATACTAGGCAGGAGAAGGGCACAGAAATCAGTCTGTTATTCTCTCTGCTGTGATGCAGTTTATTTATATGAATAAAATATTTATATGAAACCAAATTTTTTTCATGGTAAGTGCTGAAGTTCTTGATATGAAATTACACCTGATATGGACTAAACTGTGTTTCCCACTCCAAGTTCACAGTGTGATGGTGTTTGGAGATGGGGACTCTGGGAAATAATTAGGCTTGAAGAGGTCTTGAGGGTGGGGCCCCCCAGAATGGGATTAGTGCCCTCTGAAGAAGAGACAGAATTCACATCCTCCCTCTTCCCACCCATACACAGGTGAGGAAAGGCTATGCGAAGACACAGCAAGGAGGAGGTCATTAGCAATCCAAGAAAGGGCCCTCACCACTGACCCTGGCGGCACCTTGATCTTGGGCTCCCAGTCTCCACAACTGGGAGAAGTAAATTTCTGTTGTTTAGCCATCTAAGCTATGCTATTTTGTTATGGCAATCAAGTTAAGACAATATTTATCTTTTGTCATAGCCTTAGGCCTCCTACTTTTTTGGGCAATACAAACACAATAATATGAATGAGAATAAAGCTCTCACTAGTCTCAGTGATTGGCTTTTTTTTTTTTTTTTTTTTCTTTTCTTTTCTGGCACAGCCTTTTCTCTTGCTGGGTTATGAGCTCTTTGAGGACAGGCAGCATGTGTCCTATCTTTTTTGGAATATCCAGAGTTTAGCACAAAAAGGCCCTTTATAAAGGTTTACTGAGTATACTTTAAAGTCAAAGAAATATAACTGAAAAACTTTTTCTATCATTGGGAGCAAAAATGGTGGTATGAGTAGAAAAGAAAGCTGTCATTTCATCCAGGTTAGTGAGGCTAGACATTTCCTTGTCATGCCTGGTTTCTTCTTCCTCCTTCATCTTTACTATACTTACTAACTTTTTGATTATTTCCTAATATATTATTATAGGAAAGAAAGCCAAGAAGGACAAACACATCAATCTTATCACTTCAATAGGTTCTGAATCATCAGAATGGTGGAAGTTATGGTTTCTATAAAAACAAACAAAACTTTTTTTTTTTTTAAAGAGAGAGTGAGAGAATTTTTTAATATTTATTTTTTAGTTCTTGGCGGACTCAACATCTTTGTATGTGGTGCTGAGGATCAAACCCGGGCTGCACGCATGCCAGGCGAGCGAGCTACTGCTTGAGCCACATCCCCAGCCCCAAACAATACTTTTTTAAAAAAAATCTTTTTAACTGGCAGCCATTATGAAGTCGAACAACAATAAGTGCTGGCGAGGTTGTGGGGAAAAGGGTACACTTGTACATTGTTGGTGGGACTGCAAATTGGTGCAGCCAATTTGGAAAGCGGTATGGAGATTTCTTGGAAAGCTGGGAATGGAACCACCATTTGACCCAGCCATTCCCCTTCTCGGTCTATTCCCTAAAGACCTAAAAAGAGCATGCTACAGGGACACTGCTACATCGATGTTCATAGCAGCACAATTCACAATAGCAAGACTGTGGAATCAACCTAGATGCCCTTCAATAGACGAATGGATAAAAAAAATGTGGCATTTATACACAATGGAGTATTACTCTGCAGTAAAAAATGACAAAATCATAGAATTTGGTGGGAAATGGATGGCATTAGAGCAGATTATGCTAAGCGAAGCTAGCCAAGCCCTAAAAAACAAATGCCAAATGTCTYCTTTGATATAAGGAGAGTAACTAAGAACAGACTAGGGAAGAGGAGCACGAGAAGAAGACCAACATTAAACAAGGATGAGAGGTGGGAGGGAAAGGGAGAGAGAAGGGAAATTGCATGGAAATGGAAGGAGACCCTCAGGGTTATACAAAATTACATACAAGAGGAAGTGAGGGGAAAGGGAAAAACAGTACAAGGGGGAGGAATGAATTACAGTAGTGGGGGTAGAGAGAGAAGAGGGGAGGGGAGGGGAGGGGAGGGGGGATAGTAGAGGATAGGAAAGGCAGCAGAATACAACAGACATGAGTTTATCAATATGTAAAGCAATGAAGTGTAACTGATGTGATTCTGCAAGCTGTATACAGGGTAAAATGGGAGCTCATAACCCGCTTGAATCAAAATGTGAAATATGATATATCAAGAACTATGTAATGTTTTGAACAACCAACATTAAAAAAATAAATTAAAAAAAAATCTTTTTAGTCAGATAATAGAGTTCTTACTAGTTCCTTTACATTTAGAGCTTTTAAAGTTTTTGGAACCTCTTTCATATATTCAACTTCTAATTAGTCTAGTCTTTGTTTTACAGAATTCCTCCTCCCAAGGTACTATAATATGGTTCTTCACTGGGGGTGATTTTTGCCTCCCTCCCCCCTTTTACATCTGCGGATGTCTGGAGATATATTAGTTGTCACAACTTCATGGTGGGGGGGATGCCTTTGGCATTGAGTGGGCAGAGGCCAGAGAGGATGTTCAACATCCTAGAATGTACAGGACAGCCCCTGCCCCAAAGAAAGGTTTTGGGGTTGGAATTATCCAACCCAAAGTATCAACAGTGATGAGGTTTAAAAATCCTGCACTAATTGGGGCTGGGGTTTTGGCTCAGAGGTAGATCACTTGCCTAGCACATGTGGGACCCTGGGTTCAATCCTCAGCACTGCATATAAATCAATAAAATAAAGGTACTGTGTCCAACTACTATATATATATATATATATAAAATTAAATCTTGCACTAAGAGTTAAGGAGACAAACTCAGTAAGGGTGGTCAAAAGCTAGCAGAGTTTTGTTTGCCTGAAAAAGGTTCACAAGTTGAATAGTGATCCTTTATTAGTTTGCTTTAGAAATGCTTTCTTCTCAAGGCTCACAAGAGGGCGCAAGAACCCCATGTCACTGCAATGTCCTCAAACTTCTTACTCTGCCACCAAGTTAGAAAAATACTAAGCAGGTAAGACAGTTAATGCTCTTTCTTGTCCAACAGTTACTGTCATCTATGAGAACAAAATCATGTTTGTTGAACTGGCTTGCATGATGTCTGGCAAAATCATGTTATCTATRCTTAATAATTATTTTCAGAGCCAAATGAAGAGCCCTCCTCTTTTTCTTTTCATTACTGTTCACAGGTTGAAATGAGATTCTACAATATAATTAGCACGATCATTCCCATTTAAAAGCTGGAAACAGTTCAACCCTACTAAGTTATAAACCAACTGTTTCCAGCTTTTAAATGGGAATGATTTACCCTCTAAGTTATAAACCAAACTGACAGGTCAATGGAAACAGAGCTCCAATGTGCAGAGGGCATGAAATTCAGAGCCCATCTCTGCTCAAACCCACACATCTGATCTCTGCATGTACACAAAACATGCCAAGTTGAATACCCTGGTAAGATGAGACCCAGGAGGGCAGTATGGCAGACTGAAACCTGCCCTGAAACTTGAAAAGGAAAGGGAYTGTATACAGGAAACTATCTACCAACAATTTTGAAGCCTTACAACTAAAACTAGAGTCACTACTGGGATCTTTACCTATAATTAAGAAGGTGCCTTCAGGGAAGTTTCTAGTGGTACAAAATGTTCAGAGACATTCTGGGAGAAAAGTCTTAGGTCAGTGGTTTTGAATCTTTCATTAATGTTTCCCTAATGGACTAATGTTTTGAAAGATCTTGTCTATCAAAGTGCATGTTAAAAGTAATATGTTCCATATGTGTGACTGCTGATCCAGATTTTATCCAAAGATCAGTAATTTTAAGAAGGTTCATAATATTATGAAACATAAATATATATACAGTTGTAGTTGTGATGCTCCCAAGCARCAGATTTAAATAATCATACAGATACTTAAGTACTGCTTTCTACTACTGATCATGAATTTTAGCCATCCCCTATATATATTCAGGTTAAAGTTATATGACACATGACTTCATGACATCATTTTATTACCAAAAATGTTGTTCCAAGTTATCTGTCATCAGCAACCAATTAGAGCTTCTGATTACTATGCTTAGTAATATATTACTAAGCTGTTTACTATGCTGGTAGATATAATTCTAGTCAAATGCCCAAAGCCTCAAAGCTCTTGGATTATTAGAAGTTTGGAAAAATACATAAAATTCAGCCAAACACACTTAATGATGGGGATACATTCTGAGAAATGAGTGATCAGGTCATTTCATCACTGAGAGAACATCACAGAATGTACTATATAAACCTATGTGGTATAGCCCACCATGCACTAGGCTATATGGCATGCCACTGTATTGGATACCACAGGCAACTGTGACATGATGGTAGTAAGCATTTCTGTATCTAAACACACAAAAGATACAGTAAAAATACAATATAAAAGATTAAAAAATGGCACATCTGTATCGGGCCTATCACATGAGTGAAGCTTACAGAACTGAAAGTTGCTCTGAGTGAGTGGAGTAAATATGCAGGCTGAAGACATTTTACTATCAACTACTGCAGACTTTATCAGTATGGTACACTTGCTATACTAAATTTATTAAAAATGTTTTTCTTTCTTCATTAATAAATTAACCTTAGCTTACTGTAACATTTTTTACTTTATAAACTTAAAACATTGACTCTTTTGAAATAACACTTAGCTTAAAACACAAAAAGATTGAAAAGATACACAAAAATATTTTGCCTTAATCTTTAAGGTTTTTCCTATTAAAACAATATTTTTTTTAACTTTTAAAACTTTTTGTTAAAATGATTTGAAGTCAAAAGGGGCTGGRGTTGTAGTTTACTGGTAGAGTACTTGCCTAGCATGTGTAAGGCACTAGGTTCAATCCTCAGCACCACATAAAAATAAATAAGTAAAATAAAATTATTGTATAAAACAAATAAAACAAACAAAACTGAAGTCACAAATGCAGATGTTAGCTTAGTCCTACATACAGTCAGGATTATCAGTATCACTGTCTTCCATCTTGTCATCTTGTCCCACTGAAAGGTATTCAGGGGCAATGACATGCATGGAGCTGTCATATCCTATGATAGATAACAAAGCTTTTGGAATCTCTCCAGAGGGACCTGCCAAGGCTGTTCTATAGTTAACTTTTTTTTTTCTTTTTAAATATGTGAAAGCAGTACTCTCTAAAATAATGATAATAAATATATAGACAAAGAACATAGTCATTTATTATCAAGACTTATATACTGTACATAATTGTGTGTGCTATACTTTACTTTCATACCCCTGGTAGAGMAGATTTGTTTACACCAGTATCACCACAAACACATGGGTAATGTGTGGGCTATGATGTTATGACAGCTATGACATAAATAGGCAATAGGAACTTTTTAGCTCCATTATAATCTTATGGGACCATTATCATAAGCAATTTGTCATTAACTGAAATGATATGTGGTACAGGACTGCATAATAAGGACTTTTATGGACTCTAGAATATAGGAATCACCACCCAGGTCTTAAGGGATTTTATAGAAATCTTTCTATTTTACTCTTGTATATTATCTATTTGGGTATAAAATAATCCATTTGGAATCTTGGTTGAATAATGTACAAGTAGCTGATATTCCTCAATCAGAAATAAAAAAAAAACTCACTCTCATGAATTTTAAAATAAAACCCACAAAAATTCATACTGGAGGGCTGGGGTTGTAGCTCAGCGGTATAGTACTCGCCTAGCACACGCAAGGCCTTGGGTTTGATCCTCAGCACCACATAAAATAAATAAAATAAAGGTATCAYGTCCAACTACAATTAAAAAATAAATATTTTTTAAAAACTTACACAACTGGAAAGAAACTTGGGGATTAAATAATGTTCCTCCCTCATTTTTCACGTGCAAATAAAATCTCTTTGGACCTTAAATGACTTTAAATCATTTGAAGAACAATAAAGCCTAGTTTTCCAAATTTCCAGTTCAGATCTCATTCCACCACATACCAATGCTTTCTGGTGATCCATGCATCATTTTAGTATATGTAGTAATTATAAGTAAATATATGTGTTATTTAAATATCTGGACTTCAAATTTGACTACATCCCMCAGTAAGAACTGTTTTATATTACAACCCACTGGCCACTTAAAAAAATAAGTTTCATGTAATGAATCTTAAATTCTGTTGTACCTTTCTACTAAGTTGATTTCATAACCCAAGCTCAAAGTTTGAAAAACAGAAACAATACATGTTGCCTTCTGACTGTTTTTTTGTGTTGATTGTACATTGTTGATTGTACATGTTTCATTTGGTTTAACATTGACTCTATTATCTTCAGAGAAGGTTATAAACCTAATAGCATGTCTTTTTGAGAGAGAGAATTTTTTAAATATTTATTTATTTATTTTTTTAGTTATCGGCGGACACAACATCTTTGTTTGTATGTGGTGCTGAGGATMGAACCCGGGCCAAGTATTATTACATAAAGTCAAGTATTATTACATAAAATAAGAACACTGAGAAAAAAAAATCTATGCATGTTCTTTTTCCTTTCCTTTTGTCTTATGTTCTAATTACTTTATTAAGAGAGGAAAAAGGAAAATGACAAAATTCACTCCTGTGAATTCTATTCATTATGGAAGGTTATAATCTAATTATGATGTGTACAAGAGTTGGGTTTTTTTTTTCCATATTAATTCATTATTTTTCACCATTCTTTATACTGAAAATGGCAGACTTGTGAAAATTCAGGCTTATTCTTACCAAGAAGGATGTTGAAAGAATTCATAGTAGGAAATATCAACACAACTCAATGATTCTTGAGTGAATTCTTTGACCTAGAAAGGATAGTACAGAAGCTCACACACCTTGAAGTATACCGTTCCCTTCTCTTTGACAATGGCAGCCTGCTCCAGTTTTTCTTTGGTGTCCATCTCCCAGGATTCTTTGGCCTGTGTATAGATTTGTGGCAGTGGTTAGAAGAGTATAGGAGGAAAAGCATCAGCTGATGCCCTGAAGAACAATCAGCAGCTACTTCTAGAGGATACCCAAACTCAAAATACGCTGGCTGTTAAAGTTGCGTGCCATTGCCAGTTCACTGTGAGGCTAGTGCTCTCTTTGTGTTGCTTTAAGAACTCACTTTCCATGAGGATCAGATTGTGGCTTAACGCATGTTGCTCAAGAGGGTCGAGCAGGCAAAACACAGGAACATAAATTGCTGAGCACTGTGAGAGAATGCACATTTAGAATGATAAGGTRAGGCCATCCAATAAAGGCGAGGGCTCCTTATATTCCTCCTATAAACATTTCCTCTAAACTGTTATAATTTTTTCAAGTTGTTTCCCTCAAGTCTTAGTTTTTCATCTCTAAAATGGGAATTAAGTCAGAGTAGTATATTCATACTGAATTTTCAAAATTCCAGGGCAAGCAGTTTTCTCGTCATTGTAAAATAAAATAACCAGATATACAACAGCCTCCAAAGTTATATATCTAGCTTGTAAATATATAGTTGGGGAATTTCAAGAAAACATAACTGGGAGGGTAAAGCTCACACAAAAAAATCACTTCAGAGCACATGAGTTCATCATCTGCTAGTTTATATTGTGTGTATCCTTTACTCTCCACCATTAAGACACAAATCAAGAAACCACTTTCCAAACCAACAACTGGATTTAGGCTCATAAAAGTCACTAGAAAAGTTGTTGGGATCTTTAAGGGAAATTGGTAATAGAAGTGTTATTTAGCGCATATGAATTGTGAAGTTTAAGTGGCTAACTGTAAAATTCTATTTAAAAGATAATTAATGTGTTCCTGGTGTCACAGCTGCTCCCTGTTCCTACTTTAAGTGAATGAGAGGGATACTAATTTTTTTGGCAACTCATGTTGCCTCCCAATCGTTTAGCTGTTATTTAAAAGCCTCATTAACAAGGGTCCTGTGCATTTTTCATATTGGCTTCAGTTTTTATGGAGTATAAATACAGCCTTAACACAAGGCAGAGAATGAAATCACATTACTCCCAACAGCACCAAATGCCTTCCTGTGTGTCAATACACCTGGCAATGTTGCACAAATACACTGAAGGAGTACAGAGAGCAGAGGTTCTTTGTGGCAGGCCACAGTAAGAAGGTTCCAAATAAGCACAGGAGGGAAGAGGAATGGGCTTCCTCTATAAAAAGGGAAATAGGAAAGCTGAAGGTCTAAATGACCATGTGTGAAAGGTTATTTTCTCCTTCCTTAACAAAAACCACAAGGTGATATGGGACAGCACTGGAAGATCAGTGCTGAGTTAGCAGGCCTTCCAAAAATGCTACTCAATAAATGATGGTGTGACAAGAGCATGTGTTTGTTTTGAGGAAAACAAAATAGGAGGGGCATGATTAGGGACATCACTGATAGGGGAGAAACCCAAACCAGTCCTCCCCTTACTTTCCTAGCCCAAAGTTATAGGCCCACAGGACAATTTCCTTTCCAAGTCTGATAAATTACAAATAGTCACATTTCTAGCTCAAAGCTTAATGTATAGAAAAAGGAGGTGGTGGTACTGTGGGTGAATAAGCCAAGAATACAAAGGCAGTCCCTGAGGAGCTCCAGGAAGGGTGGGGCACTGGTCACATGGGGGTGTGGGGTGTGGGGGGGTGCACACTGCTGAGAATGACAACACACCTAGCTTAGGTATGACTTTGTCTGTTCTGTTAATATGCTGCTAAAGAGCCTCCTAGGTTGGAAATTATGTCAAACAAGACACACCTTTCTGGAATCCAAGGCAATTGACAAATACTCTCATTTCTACTTTGACAGATATGAAAAAAGGGTCTAGGGTTAGCAGGTTTCTTTCCTGTGTCTGGTCACACAGACAGATGGCCCCCAAGGCCTGGTAATTGGGATAATAACTTAGAGTGACAGTCAGGTCTATTTGTGACTCCTGTGAAAGGTACAATTCTTTCAGCCCTGGAAAGCTGCACCCATACCTCTAAGGAGCTTCTTGGCAGTACGTGAAACTTTTTGTCCTCAACCCAAGAAAAAAGTACAAAAAGAACAAGTCTAGGAACAAATAAAGGAACAAGTCTTGGATTCTACCCAAAAAAGTTTAAAAAAAAGGCTGACACATAGAACAAAATAAGAACACTGAGGTCCTTGGTTGTATATCAGCTGTGCTATGTCAGATGTCCCACACTCTAGTAGCAGTGTGGGAGACGAGACAAACTTGAAAATGAACAGCACAACACAGAAATAAACACCAGCTATCTATACCACCTAGTAATAAAGTAAATAAAAARTGGATGGAGAAGAAATTTATGGTGATTTTAGAGAAATTGGTATTTTCTCACCTTTTCGAAGCTCTTAAGCGTAACTTCATATATAAGCTCAGCATTAGGTTCAATGCCAAATTTAGGCTTCCCTGCCTCTCCAAAACCATATCTGAAATGGAGAGTAAAAAATAAAACTTTAAAAGAATTGGTGTATTTCCAGACACTTTCTTTGGTACTTTGAGGTATCATATTAGCATAGTGCTATCATTTGCAAGTTACACACAGTGACCCTGAAGACAAAAGATGTTGATCAGAAGATATAGTGCCAAATATCCCTACTGTAGTTTTCTTAGAAACTGGGCTAGATTCAGCTTTCTTCTGCTTTGCATACACATGTAATGCAACATCTATACTACTTGGGACAGCTTGCTTAATGTGATTGCAAATGTTATTGCCTTTTTTTCCCTACTTGTTTTTACAATTAGCTTTCTGGCATTAGGCTCTTCTCCTTAAGCTTTATCAGCAGGAAAGACAAAGGAGATATAGTCACTGTAATTGTTGTAGTGGTGCTTTTTAAAGTTTTAATGAGCTTTGAGTTTTAAAGTGTTATTGTCAAATAGTTCTGGGAACATCTACCCTGACTTTCTGATAGTACCACTTCTAGTCAGATAAATGAGGGGAAAGACTCACATATTAGGAAAGAAATATGTTCTCTCAGTATTTAATATTTTTAAAAAGAATACTAGGAAATACACATAATATACACATAAATTAAAAGTAGCAGCTCTAGCACCTCATAGAGACACTCTCTTACAGTTTTGTAACTATCCTATTATAAAATGCTATACCTTTTAGCCAAATCTTACTGAATAAAAAGGTGGGGATATGTAAATTTGTATTTAGAATCATTTAAGATCTTTAACAAATTAAACATATTCAAGAAGCACGMAACTGCTAGAATGGAAGTTCTAGTGGAGCTGTCTGGCTGGTTCAGTTGGTACCCAACATTTAGAACAAGGTCAAGCATATCAAGACAGTATTCAATGGAATATACTCTCTTCCCATAAGCCAAGCTATTCTTGGTACATGAAATGGTATTATAAAAAACTTAGTAAACTCAAACTTTCAGGTTATAGGTTGAAAGATGTCAAAATGGGGTTGATAATACCTCTAGTTTCCTTCAGGACTGAAGAAGTACAATGGGCCTGTCCTATGATCTTTACCCCTTGCCTGAATTTTCCAGGAAAAAAAAAAAAAAACTGCTTACTCACTCACCTCCATGGTTACACAAGAAGGTGCAACTGGAACAGAGAGAGGCATAGACATACAATGAGAGCTGGTAGGATGGGGGTGTGGTGGCTTTAACAGCAGGGCAAAGGGTATCTTCAGCAAAGAAATAAAAAGAATGTAATTATCAGTAGCCAATTTTAGGGAGTGGTGCCCACTTTTCTAACTTGCTGGGAATGAGGTAAACAGGGGAATACTTACTGAAAGCCTATTTACTGAGAGCATGTTATGATCGAGTCCTGTGCTAATACTCGGGGACAAATGCAACAGATGATCTGGCATTTGCCTTAGACTGATGGCCCTTAATTTTAATCCTCCCTTCCCCAGGGCAAAGTCTAGAAATATTCTGAGGTTTTTACAACTGGAGGGGTGCTGCTGGTTTCTCTTATGCAGAGGTCAGGAACGCTGCTGAACATTCGACAATGCTCAGGACAGCTTCTATAACAAAGAATTATCTGGCCAAAAATGTCAATAGAGCTGAGGGTAAGAAAACCTACCTCAGAGGAACTCACAAATAGGGTCCATGTGGTGGGAAGTATGAGGACTGGGTAGAGGGAGGCATCAGAGAATCCTGCCTATTATCAAAGGGGTTAAAGAAGACTAAAGAAGGAGATTATTTCTATAACTCTCTCTTGGCTTAAAATGAAATGATTCTATCAAGTGTAGGTAGAGCACAGCAACCTGAAGAGGCAGAAGCTCACACCAAATAGTTCTGGGAACATCTACCCTGACGCCTGTATTATATAGAAATTTGGCTGATTATGCTAGTTCAGTCCAAGCAAAGAAGGACCCAGGGCATACAATTCATCTGACTGAAAATTAAAATACCACAAATGGAATTCCAGGACTTAAACAAAAAATAAGGTGAGCTACAGTAACAGAAGGAATTCATTATTCCTGTCCTTGGATTAATGGTTGCTTCCAGAGAGCAGAGATATAAATGACTTCTAGTGACTATTAGGCTTTTGTACACATACAAGAACTACTCACATTACCCTTGTTACCAACTGCTTCTTTTTCTTTTTAAGGTCTATTTTGGTTCACTTTTTTAAAAGTTGTCAATGGACCATTTATCTATCTATCTATCTATTTATATTTGGTGCCGAGAATCAAACCCAATGCCTCACACATGCTAGGCAAGCTTTCTACCACCGAGCCACAACCCCAACCCCTGCATCCTTTTTATAGATGAAGAAACTGAGGCTCAAAGAGAAGTGCTTTTTGAGTGGTCTCAAAGAGGCAGTGGAAGAGCCAGGATTTAAGTGTGGCCTGAAGAAACTTTAGTTTTTTGACCCATGCAGCCTCATTATTGGACTATAACTCTTGGCAGCCTGTGTTTTTGTTTGGGATTGTTTTAAGACAAAAACATAAGGAAAGGAAGGAAAGAGAAAAAGTTAAAAATTATTCACACTTGGACCTAAAATAAGAGGAAAAAATGGGTTCTTTGGAAGTGTTTCATGAATTTCTTATTATGAAAATATTTTGCCAAGAAGTCTATCAAAGTCAAAGAGAAAGGGTGCCTTGGATATTTTATGGAGATTAAAATAGAAATGACATTAAGAGCATAAATTTGCAACAGCCRTATTTACGACACTCAGTATAATGTTATATAAGTGGGAATCTGAATAAGACAAGTAAATTTGTTACATGCAAACAGAACAGGTTTGGTGTGTAAGGATTTTYTACATACATGAATAGTATTATGCAATGCATATGCAGAGATTACACTTTGCACACCATCACTTTGAACAGAAAATAACATTTTCCTTCCAATTATGCAAATCATAGCCATAAAACATATAAAAAAAACTTTTTAAAAAAATTTGTTCTAATTAGTTATACATGACAGTGCATTTTGACACGCTGCATACAAATGGAGCACAATTTCTCATTCCTCTAGCTACACATGGTAAAGAGTCACACCAGTAGTATAATCATACATGTAATGAAAAAACTTTTATACCAAAAAATTTATGAAAAACTTGTCTGCTACTTTTATGCCTGAAAACATCAGGAAAACCTACCACGTGTTAAAACAGAATCTCCTTTTTCTGGTGGCCTAAGGGTAAAATGGAAGAGAAAGCCACCACAAAAGTAGTGACAGCTGATACACCAAGGGTTTGAATGTGCCAGGCAATTTGCTAAGTGCTGTATCTGCCTGACTTCATTTAGTCCTTTGCAACTTTATAAGGTAGACACTGTTATCCCTACTTATAGAAGGGGAGATAAGTGACTTGTTCAAGTGCACATAGTTGGTAAGCTGCAGAGCAGGGTTTAACAATTAATGATATATACAGCAAACAGTTTAAACCTGCAAGGAACTATTTGCATTTATAAATAAAGACAATTTCCTTTTCTTTTTGCCACTAATCAGCTAGGTTAAAATGYAATGAACTGATTCATATATTATATGCTCACAATATATATAGAACTTATCCTCAAGGAGCTTAAATATGCAAACATACATTAAATATAAATCCTATCTTCTAGCGAGTTTACTATAATTTTGGAATACTAGATTAAAAGTAATTAGAGCCAGGCATGGTATTATACATCTGTAACCCCAGCAATTTGGGAGGTTGAGACAGGAGGATCACAAGTTCAAGGCCAGCCTTGGTATTTTAGTGAGGCCCTTGGCAAGTTAGTGAGACACTATCTCAAAATAAAAAATAAAATGGGCTGAGGATGTGGCTCAGTGGTAACATGTCCCTGGATTTAATTCCTACTACAAAAAAAAAAAGTAATAAAGAATTATTACTGCCTCAATAAAGGCTTTGAAGAGTTCATGGTGGAACATCTTGGAAGGATTCTCAAGTGGGTAGTGCCATGACCAAAACATCACCTGAGAAATATGATTATGGATCAAGTGCTAGGACAAAGGTAAATAAGCCACTGTGTTACTACAGAGGCTACACAAAGGCAACAGTACAAAAGGCATGATATTACCTATTGGCAGGGGAGGTCATCAAGAGTCTTATTAACTCAAAATCCTACCAATGAAAGTCCTTGGAGCCCAGGGAAAACACATTATTAGATAAGCAGATGCACTTTCATGTAAACAGAATCAAAACACACTGGTTTCTCTCAGGGGTTCATTTCTCAAGATAGAAGGCTTGGATTCATGGTATAATTTTCGATCTAAAAATAATACCAAACATGTTTTCACAAGAGAGACTGTCAGTGTCTGATAGTTCTAAGCTTGGAAGTGCTAATGGATATCCTTATAATGGGAAAAATTTAGGCAAAAATGAGTCATCTCCTCTGTCTTTAGATCCAGGAAGAACAGGCTTTTTTTTTTTKGRARGGGGGGGGTAGAGGAGAAGATGCCTCTATAAGAACATGTGGCACAAATTCAAGTGGTAATAAATCATCCAAATGCTTCAACTCCCAATGCCTTCTGCCCAATTTAGAGAAAAAGAGAACARGGGCAAGAGAATTACATATGAGGACTGATAACTGCCTGACTTGGCTACATGGCTGGTAATACTATCCTTAACATGCATCAACCAAATAAACATACTTGCAAACCTTTGTATACTATAAGGCCCATTAATTTACTTGATGACTAACTATGACCTGACTCAATGAATGTTTCCACTGTTGTATTAACATCACTGAAAATATCAAAATGCTGAATGAAAAAGTAAGCATATCCCTGTTCTTTGGATACCTTCTCAGTGTGCTGAACTGGTATGCTGCTTACCGTGGTCCAAGATACAAAATACATTGTTCTTCCCGCTGCATTTTCTCCAGGGCTTTGTCAATTCCAATTGGAATGTCATGGTCTTCTCCTTCACCAACAGTGAATACCACATCTCTGCAATCAAACATCCTTCCACCACAGCAGCCTTCCAGGTGGACTGAGGGTGAGACAGGACAATCAACAAACTGGCTCCTTAGGACTCAGTAATTCAGTGAAGTGAAGAGTGAGTGGCCACCAATGTAGCAAATACCATTTCCCCTCTCTCATTTCATTAAGAAACATAGTGCTACATCTCATCTCAGTTTCGCCTACCCAGCAATCATATTTCTGTTTTAAGCTAAACATAAAATTGCTGATAACCTTATCAATAAGAGGCTTAGTGGGTAATAAAACCAACTAGAAGCTGGGCTCAGTGGTGCATGCCTGAAATCCCAGCAGCTTAGAAGGCTGAGACAGGAGGATCACAAGTTCAAAGTGAGACCCTGTCTGAAAACTAAAATTTAAAACATAGGACTGGGGATGTGGCTTGATGGTTAAATACCCCTGGGTTCAATCCTTGACACAAACAAACAAAACCCCCAAAACCAAAAAACAAACCCCCCCCAAACAAAAAAATCCAACTAGAACATAGGTTTAATCTAAGCCTATGACCGTTTCCTTACTTGTAACACAGGGTCAAGACAGATTACATAAAAGATAATTATTAAAATGCCACAAACTTAATATCAAATATATAATGACCTTCTATAACTGTATCTTGACTTCAGATTCTTGGGCAAGAACCCAACTGAGTGGTTATTTCCTTAATAATATACCAAGGTTAACTGAAGCTCTTTCCTCTTTAAGGGTCCTAATCACATTCACAAATATATATGAATAAAAATGAAAAATCCAAAGGAAACACATAAGTAACTAAGCTGTTTTCCTTAGTGGAAGTAATAAATTTWAAGTGTGAAGGAATCAATAGTATTACTATAACTTTACAAGTTAAATTATTATTAACAACCTCTTTTGAAATGTAAAGTGAAAAGGTCAATTTCTTGGGATCTAAGTCCCCAGGCCACCCAAATTCATTGAGCTTATTCCCAGGGTTATTTCATATTAGATAAGAGGCTTTCATATTAATACAAAATAGAAAAAATACATATACACATTGTTTTTCCTTGATAGGTTAGATTCATTTTTCTAGGAAAAACAATTCTCTGAAACCTTCTAACTACTGTTAACATTACGAATATTTATGCCTTCCAGTCTTTGACTCAGTAAGAAAAACAGATGGCTTATAAGCTAGGGTAACATTCACCAGGGAATATAATAATTTGTCTTTCATGAGAAAATTCGTTATTCTTACTTCTGTAATATAATAGCCTATATTCAAATCTATGGCAGTTTCCTAAAACACTTMTTTTCTAATACTGGATAATCAACTTTGGATCAATAACTTGCTTTAGAGAAACTAAAAATCACTCTTCTCTTAAACATATCCCACATCCAATAAGATAACTATTATTTTCCAAAATAGTTGTGATTTTCAATTACAACTTACTATACATTTGAACTACATGACCTCAAATGTCCCTCAAAGCTCTAAAATTCTATGATTCCATGACCCAGAGAATTGAATAATATAACTCAACATAGGCCTGAAACCAGCTTCAAAGCTAACTACTATAGCTAGTCATTTGATGGGTTTATCTTTAGCTTAGGCCTGAGAAATGAGATAAAGTATGAAGAGTAAACAGTGGTGGTTAGTATACATACTAAAAACCCAAATATTGCCTGGATATATACGCTTTAAAGCTCTCTACCCTTTTTTAACTCACTAGGATTAATACAGGTAGTATTAATGATTTGCTCCCATTGCAAATATACGATGGAATCCAAAAAGCTTGGAGTAAACTAGAGAGGCCTGGATCTTGAGTCAGTTCCTTCAAGTGACAGCAGGAGCTAGACTGGCTTTCAGGATGGGGTTGGTATATGGTATTTTTTTTTATATCCCATAMTCATAAATGCAATGTTTCCCTGTAAATTATATTCATTTTTGGAATGCTCTAGATAAAACATTCAACCTGCAACAAATTGAAGGTCATTCTGAATTGGAATTATTTAAAAAATAAATTCAATTTACTATTTTCAATTCCATCCAAATTAGGTTCTGCAGGAGGGAGTCTAAGGCTTAAGATATTTTTACTGGAGTAAAAGTTGATTTTCTAAAGGGGTTGAGAGTTCTTAGAAGTTTGCATACCTAAATTTCCTTAAATCTTCCCAAGAAATTTAATTTAGACTAATGAATGATACTTTCATGAAAAAGATTGCTGAGCAAAATGAATTTTAGCTCATGTATTATGTAATGTYTCAAGTATTGGGATGTTAACAGATTTTTTTGGTCTGAGGGTTATTGTTAAAAGTATTACCTCCCCCTATCCCCATCCCAAAAGGATAGCACATTTAGTAGGGGAGGAAATTATCAGTATATTTGTTGTGGCTTTTGGTTGATCAAGTTTGAATGTGTTTTCAAAACAGGAAACCCAGACCCTGCAAAGGATTTCTGCCTGTGTGTCAGTTTCCTAGCCTGGCTTTCAGCTTGTATGTACTTGAAATCATACAAATAATTTCAGGGTTCTCTTTACATGTGATAACCCATCATTAGAGGGATAAAAAGACTGCCTACTAATAAACATGTTGGGAAAGATAAGTGAAGTAAGCAAAACAAACAAAAAATAAAAAACAAAGCTAAGTAAAACTATAAAAAAAGGCATAATTAAGAAAACAAAACATTCATTGTAACTAGTCTGTCTGAAAGAGACAATAAATGATGGAACCAGTAGTGTCTGTAACTGTCTAATATGAAGGGAAACTTTTTTATGCTTGCTCCCATAAATACTTATTATCTTATATACAGGCTACTTTTTTTTCTTCTGGTATATCTAATTCTTCAAAATTAGACCTGAACAGTCACTACCTATTAGCGTACCATAAAATCTTATTCTGATACAGACCCACACATGAACAGCAGTTTATATTTGTATACATAAAACTACCACCATGTAATATTGATGTTATCTGCAATATCAGACCAAGAGGCGGTATCATTGCCTCAGGGATATACAGTCCATTGATTCTTTATATCTACAAGTAGCAAAGGCTATCTTTGCTGGGTTAACTGGTTTCTAAACTTGGAATATGAGTGACAAGTTCTATAAGATTGCTAACAATAATTCACATACCACTTGGAGCACAGGAAGATTGCCATTGCCATAATGAGGGCTCCCCTCTCTAGGTGATAGATACAGATGATATGCCTAGTTCCTACAGATCCAGTTATTTTCTTGTATATTGTCTTAACAACTGCTACCAAAGAAAACCATGGCAGCTCTGGCTGTGGAAGACCTGTGGTTGCTTTTGACCTTATATCTCTTAGTGCAAATACTCACTTAATAAATATTTAATAAAAAGCAGCATGACTCACTTGGGAGCTTAGTCTCTAGGGCTCAAGATGTCTGTCGCTAATCTCAACCAAGATGATTTATGGGAAGTAAACGATCTATGATGTTCCAAAGAGAATAAAAGTACATACAGGATGCTTCTACTTAAGGCTTTTTTGGTAGAGAAAGAAATAAACAAGTTAAAAAGAGACAATATTTTCTCTTGACTCAAAGTCTACATAACTTAAAGGGAGGAAGGTCCTCTAAGTCCCACAAAGTTAAACCAAACCAAATTATCCAAGCTTAGCTGCGCAATCCGAGTGTAACCACATCAAGTGAGCCCAGTCTGCTGCAAAACATCATTTAAACTGGAGCTCTGACTTATTGTTCTCTTACTGCCCTAGAGCAATTTTGTTTTGAAGAGCACAGAACACCCTGTTCTGAATGTGGCTGGCACATGAACTCGATGTGCTGACAGCAATTTGTACTTCGATTAAAATAGGGGGAAAAAGGAAAGAGAGAGTGCACAGCAGTAACAAAAACTGGAATGCAAGAACCCCTAAACTGTACAATTGGTATTTTAGGAAGTGAAATTGAGAAAGAGGCTTCATAACTTTAAAAAATAAAAAAAAAAAAAAGGCACTGTAAACACTCCAGCCTAAAGACTTTAGCTCTGGTAAGTGTCTGTTTTCTCCTTTTCTAATTATAGTAGTTGGTGTCTGATAGCTTTGCACTCATTCCCAAAACAATTGCTGGGTCATGGGGATCTGAATGGGAATATAATGGCATTACTACTAACTAAACAAGACTGGTCATTTGGCCAGAGAAAATCAGGTTGTGACAGGTTACTCCCACTCAGCAAGGGTTTTCTCTGCTGCCTAATTCATACCAAATGAGTTTCTCCTGCCTAACAGAGCAGGGCATCTGACAGAGTGGAATCTTAATAATTGCTCTATAAAGGCAAGCAGAGATGAATTTTTAAAAGACATATTAATCACTGATTACAAGGAAATGGCTTTCATCAGGCATAGTGGTCAAATTTCCCCTAACTGCCTCCCGCCCCCCATACCGTTCTGTATTATTTGAGGTGAATGAACACTATTGGGAGATTGCTTATGGAACTCAGGACAGATACTAACAGAGGGCAGGCATGGGACCTGGCCACTGCAATGATGTTACATTTATGCAAATGATTTCTTCTTCCTTAGGCTAAATAGGAAGCATACACCCAGCAAATAACTTAATCAACACAAACTCGACACTCTTCATTCCATACCAGTAGAGCACTGAGCCRGACCTGGATGCCAGTGCCATTTTGCAACTTAACAATTGTGGTTTGGGAACACAATTTAAATTATTGGGACCTCAGTCTTTTCATCTATAGAATAGGGATAATAATACTAGTTAACTCATAGATGCTAAGAATTAAATTAGGTATTGAATTAAAGCTTTAGCACAGTACCTGGTATTCATTAATTCATACACTGTGGTGTCTACCATGTGAAGACAGTATTACATTTGAATATAGAGATGAACTCAATGAATGCTAGCTGTCATTATTTTCCTATAATTAGTCATAAATTACACCAGATTAAATATGTCTTAGAAATCTGTATATGAAAATTTTAATGGAGCCACAGACAGCTGTCCAAGTATAAGTCAAGTAAAATTCCTAATAGGCAAATGCACTGTATTATACTTCTTTTGTATTTCAGCACACAGTTCAGGGCCA